CTGGACAGGTTTTTTCTTTTTGTCTTTCTCTTCCTCATCATCACTGGATTCTTCACTGCTGCTGCTCTCTGATGCTTTGGCCACAGCCTTTCCAGGATGCTGAGGCAGACTGGCCCGCTTGGCAGATACAGCTGAATAAAGCACAAGTTCCAGTAAGAATCAGCCATATGGTACAGGCAGGCTGCAAATTTTTTTCCTAGAGCCACCCAGCCCACCCCCTGTCTGCTTTACCAGCCTTCTTAACTGGAGGCCCTTGAGCTTGTTCCTTCTCCTCACTGCTGTCCTCACTACTGTCACTGGATGAGGTCTTCTTCTTAGCCTTCTTAGTCACTGGTCCATTTGCCTGTAACTTCCTCTTTGGGGTCTTAGCGGACCTGCTGAAGTATATTAGGCTAATTTCTGGGGGACTGGGACTGTCTCAAACCAAAGAACACAGCCCAGCCCACCTGAGGGGAGAAAACAGCCAAAGTGGAACAGGGAATGCTTACTTCAGCCAGAAGCTATAGATGTCCAAGAGGGAAGAGGCGTTGGCATCTTGCTGTGTCTACAGAAGAAAAAGAGCTAGGTAAGGACATTTTATCCTGGTTATTCTTTCATTAAATGTGACCGGTTACATACACACCTACTAAATTTGATATAAATGTTACATCTTCGTAAGACTTTTCCTACTTGCATAAATCAGGAGAAAAATATTCTACTTGTGTATTTCCCAATTTTTGGTACCAAAAACTTGGGCTACTCCTATAGTTTGTGGCACTATCTAAGCTTCTGACTGCCAATCTATATTTATCAAAGTCTTTTAAAAAATTCATTCTCTTTACTCTAGCAATGTATTAGCTAAGAATCTTATCCATTGAACAAGGAAACAAACACTAATACAAGAGGGCATTTGCTGCAATGTGGATTGTAATACCAAATCATTGGAAACAAGCCTCCAAGAGATGATCGGTAAGTATTGTATGTTATATATACATAATATATGCATACAGTAAAGAACTGAATTTATCCAGGTATGGTGCCTCAAGAAATTTAAAAAAAAAAAAAAAAAAAGAATTGCATTTAGTTTATTAACTACACTTACATAGACTATTAACCAATGCAAAAAATGGCAAAGCATCAAAAGATCAGGCCAGGTGCAGCACTGCACACCTATCATGCCTATAATCCCAGCACTTTGGGAGGCTGAGGCAGGAAGATTGCCTGAGTACAAGAGTTTGAGGCTAGTCTGGGCAACACACCAAGATCCCACCTCTACAAAAAATTTTAAAAATTAGCTGGATGTGGTAATGCATGCCTGTAGTCCCAGCTATGAGACCTCATCTCTTAAAAAAAAAAGAAAAATGCAGGATCAGAGTCAGTATAGATGTGAACTCACCTTTGTAAGTTATTATCATATGACCCTGAAAAAATTTCTTAATCTCTGAGATTGTTATTCTCTATACAATGGAGATAATCTTACGACACATCTCATTAAGTTACTATGAGGATAAGAGATAATATATGTAAAAGGCTTAACATCTGGCCCTCCACAAAGATTAGCTTTTGTCACCTAAATCCAAAGAATCCTAACTCTGAAATGCCCAATTCTATCAAGTCCACTGTCAAAAACATTCTGTAGTCTCCCTAACAGTCAAGGTTAGGGACAACTCAAAACAGTTCCAATAAGAAAGCAGTTATATTAGATCGCATGGCAGCCTGTCCCAGCTGAAGAAAGTTCTTTCTGAGGCTGATCTGATTCCTTCCTTTTGCAGCCCGATTCTGCTGCAAAGAACAAGCCTTTCTTCTTATTCATGCTACCATCCTATCCTACCTCTCTAACCTCTCTCAAGGTGTTTTCCCACGTAGGCATGTCTGGTTTTTTTGAGATGTAGTTTATGAACCTTTCACTTTCTGGTCATCTGGTTCTTACATGTATTTGGAGCATACTAAATTGCCATAACTATGATAATAGCTTTCACTTATAGATGCTTCCTATGCAACAGCACTGGAATTGCCACTTGTATACATTAGCTTACTGAAACTCACAAAAGTCCTATGAAGTGGATGATTACATCCCTGTAGAAACAGACTCTGAGAGGTTAAGCAAGTTGCCCAAGTCACACATCTACAAAGTGGCAGAGCCTGGTCCCCAATTTAGGTTTGTTTAGTTCCATTAGCCAAAGCTCCAAGCCCATTGCTATTTCTGCTTGGTAGGGCTATGTATGATGCTAGTCCTTCTGCATCAGTATAACTAAAAGTAGAACCCTGCCTTGACTCTCATTCGTTTTACTTACTAACGAAAATCCCAGCCTTCATTTCTAACGCAATTTCATTTATCTTTGAGCCCCAGGTAAATGGGATCAAGGGTAAGATCAAATCATGCTTTGTCTCAGCCAACGAAAAGCCCTAACCAGGTGCCACCAATGTCCTCGGTGGGACACCGCGTTAGCTCCTCGCCGCACTCTGCCAGCCATGTGACCTGGAGCCACGAGGTTCCCACGCTGCCGCCGCTGCACGACTTACCAGGAAAAGAGCAACAAGACTCAGCGCTACGTAGTCAGACCTGCTAAAAGAGGAGGGACGGAGGCTCCAGGCTTTCTCTGGTCACTGCCAAGAAGTCGGCGCAAAGGCCTCGAAGACACTGGAGTGGCGGATCCCACAGACCTCCCCATTCGGAAACCTAAGCCTGTCAGGGCCTGGAACCTTGTGGTCATGCCACCCCAGTCTCCGCCCGAAGCCCGGGACTTACAGCGCCTGTCGCTTTGGCGAACTTATTGGCCACTTCTGAGAGTTGGTTATCGCGCAGAAAACCGAGCACAAGGGGATACAGGTCGCTGGGAACCACGCGGCGCAAGCCGGCGTCCGCCATCCTCCAGGCAATACGCGTCACTACCGCTGTCGACGCAACACGACTCAGAAACTCTGGAACCCGACGGGGACAGAGGGCGGTCCTGTATGGCGTCATTGCCCCGCGCGGGCGCACAGCGGAAGGGGTGGGGCTTCATAGGGCAGTCCCGCCTCCACATCGGACCGGAGTCAACACGAAATCTATAAACTCTTTCCGGTCCCACGCGTGTCGCCATCTTGGTTAAGGGCGGAGCCCACCGGCCAATACTTTGTGGAGGCGGAGCTGTGATGTCACGGGGCCACGCCCTCGGCCGTGGCGGGAAAACTCTGGACTTCCCGCGCGTAGTCTTTCTGGGGGAGGCACCTTTTCCCGGCGCATCGGTTTCCCGCGCCCCTGCTAGGATTCGGATTCTAGAATGAGGACAGGCGGGCTCAAGCCTTCCTCTCTGGACTTAGTCACAACATTTCCCAGCCGCCCCCATTCGCACTGTCGATGGATCTCACCCTTTATCTTCACTGCCTCCAACACCCAGGGAGGCCTTTCTCAGATACCACCCCAGCCTTGACTCCTGCGGAGGATCCTTCAGGTTCTCTGCCGTGGGGGAAGGGGGTGTTGATTCCTAAAGCTCCCCCGCCCTCAGTCATGGCTTGCCTATAAGACAACCCTCCCACACCTCTTATTCAGCCTTAGGTCAGCTCCGTTAAAAGTGGTCGTGCACCAACCTGAATCACACAATGATCCCTGCAATCTGCAGTCCTAAAAATAACCCTTCTTCCTTCGAGGTCAGAGTTCACACTCTCCCCTTGTCATGAATAACTCCATCAGTGCCTAGACTCGCTAATTCCAAGTTCTGCCATATTTCAGGTCACATTAGCAGTCAGCAATCACTTCAATCCTACCCACTACTTGACTACTTCCGATTAATGCCCCTCAGGAAGGATAAGGATCCGCTTCCTTATGGAACACACCTCTCCTTTGCCTTTCTTAAAACGGGCACTGTCTCCTATATAGAACTCCTACAGCTCCCTCTTCCCCAGAGAGAAGTTCTATCCACATGTATGCATTCTTTAAAATATTCAAGCACCTGCTGTGTGCCAAGCATTGTCCTCAAGCTAAAATGGTGAACACAAACGCAACAGTGAATGTACACACAAGCCCCAGTTTAGAAAACCTTTATTTGGAACATGTGTTGTCGTTTTCTTTTTTTTCCCCCCTCACCCCCAACAAGTGTGAGCTTCCTCAAGGTCCTTGCTATCTAAAGCTCTTCCTGGACCAGTCCCCTTGCTTGAGATGCAGAATCTCAGACCCCACCCTAGAAGTCAGAATTGATGTTCTAAAAAGAGCTCCACATGATTCAAATGCCCTTTCAAGTTTGAGAAGCGCTGCCCTATATGACTGATTTCACAGACAATACACCTGAGGAGCCAAGTTTCGAATCCAGTAGGCTTTTGCACCTGACCAGAGAGGCATGTCCCTGGTTGTGTTCAGATGGGAAAAGTGAATACATTTGGCACTAGCGCCACATAGAAAGAAGTACAACAGCACTTGGGAGTTCTCTCTGGTTCATGTTTATTAGTCTGCATAGTGACTTAGATGTTCCAAACACTGGGGGGGAACCCCTCAGCTCCACCCATCTCACATAGGAATGCAAGTTAACTTGTTTCAATACCTGTTATAAAAAACAAATACCCCTTTAAAAAACTCTGATTTAACACATTTTTTATTTCACTTTTTTCCATTTCTTTATAAAACAGTCATCTCCTCACTAGCAGCTCTCTCCCGTAGAGTGGGGGAGGGGGGTGGAGGAGGTTGGGCACCTCCAAAGAAAAAGGGGGAGGGGAAGGGCCCAAGGTTACCTCCGGAGGTTCTTTTGGGCCTGTTTCAACAATGTGTCAAAATCAAGAGAATCAAATTTGCTCTTTACAGGTGCAGGGTCAAAGTCTTCCCGGTTGGAGTCTATAAAGGTAAAGAGGGACAAATGTCAAGGTCTCCGACCACACTTCCAAACCACAGGGTCCTCAAATGGCCAGCCATCTCCCATCCCAACATAATAGATGGAGCTAAAATTGCTCTGATTTTTAAGTCAAAGCCCCCATTTCTCCTCTCATCCCATCCCTTGGTTCTCAGTATGTCAAATGAAGGTTAAGTCTGCCTAGACCAACTCTCTTAAGGGTTAGGAACCCTTCTGGAGAGGGTATGAAGTATGCCAAAGCCTCCGGCCCTCACTCCACTCACCAAGATCAGAATAGCTCCTCTTGCAGAACTGCCTGCGGCCCCCAAAGCAAAGATCAAAGGGCTGCTCATCTGCCCGCCGCAGCTTGTGGCCACTCTCGATGGCTGCAAATGCCTCCTCAGCATAGCGGTAAGTGACGAAGCCATAGTTGTCACTGGTGGGGAAGGTGAGGCAGGGGCTGGGGTGGCCATTTGGGCACATGCCATGGAGAAGACACAGCAACCCAGAGTATGGAGGTGGTTCTCATTCCCCAGTGGTCAACCCTCTGCAGAAATGAAGGTGCCCCGCATTGCCCAGCACACTAGGGCAAAGAGGAAAGACAAACATCAAGGTAGATGAATGGGAAAGAACATCCTGACCTTGGGGGCCCAAGCTTACCCCTGGACACGGAAGTGGATGGTGCATTCCTCAATTTCTCCAAAAACTGAGAACCTCTGTTTCAGCTCTGATCGAGTCATGCGGCCAGGTATCTTCCCAATGAAGACCACCCTTCTCTCTTCCTATGTTGAAAAAGAAAGAAAATTGACATATCATGTCTGCAGCTACAGAGAGCTCTCTGAGCTCATGGCTCAGGGCCAAGCCCCCTCCTGCCGTGACCTGTTCCTCTACTCACTATTGCACGCTCCTTCTGCAGCACTCTCTGCCTTTGGTAATGGTCATGTGAACGATAAGAGCTGTACCTGGCAAAAGAAGGTGTCATCAGGCCCCCTAACAAAAGATAATTCGAGACTCAGAACTCTCAGACACTGCCTCCCTGAACATGTGCTCACCGCCGTCTCCTGTCACTTCTCCGGCGGGGGGATGGGGAGCGAGAACGGCTTCGGGAACTGGATGATGAGGAGGAGGAAGATGAAGAAGATGATGATGATGAAGAAGAAGAGCATCTTCGGGAACGTCCGGAGGAACTGCAGCTGGACCTAGTGAATAAAAGGGCATGCAGGAATGCTGGGAGTAGTGCAGGTATACCCCACTTATCTCACCCAGGCTCCAGCCCTGCCTCTCTGTTAGGAAGCTGAGGGCCACAGATAAAGCAGAGCAGAGGCACTCTATAAGAACAATTTTCCTCACAGATGAACTGAGGCCCTTCATGGAACTTTAGAACGCCTGGAATGTTTTGGAGTATTTTGGTAGAGGTATTTATTTACAATTGTGCAATTAAAAATTGAAAAATAGGCCAGGCATGGTGGCTCATGCCTATAATCCTAGCACTCTGGGAGGCGAAGGCAGCAGGATCACTTGAGGTCAGGAGTTCAAGGTCAGCCTCAGCATGGGCGAGACCCCATCTCTACTAAAAAAATAGAAAGAAATTAGCCAGGCAACTAAATAATAAAAATAGAAAAAATTAGCTGGGCGTGGTGGCGCACACCTGTAGTCCTAGCTAGTAGTCGGGAGGCTGAGGCAGGAGAATCCCTTGAGCCCAGGAGTTTGAGGTTGCTGTAGGCTAGGCTGACGGCCATGGCACTCTAGCCTGGGCAACAGAGCAAGACTCTGTCACCAAAAAAAAAAAAAAAAAATTGAAAAATTGAAAAATATTATTTCCAACCAATGTTTCTAAAAAACAAAAAAATAACTGAAAAATATTTAACAAATCAGACAAAGGAAGAAAAATAGAGACTGAGGGACATAGAGGGCTGGGTCCCAGGTCTCACAACCAGCTCTCTGTGGTGCTAGGGCCAGGCCTGGGTCTCTGGGTTACTACTCTTCCCCTACCATGTCTCACAGGAATACTGTGACCATGCCATAACAGGAGGTGACTGTGCTCGATCAGCAGTAGGGGCCATTTCTAAACGTGTATCATGGCCAACACCTAAGAATTCTTCATTAAGTGGGAAAATTAGAGTCTATTACTGAGAAAAAAACATGCTGCCAGGAAATAGATGAGGCCACAGTGACACCCAAAGGAACTATCCCAGATGCTTTCCTCAACAGGTGATTAAGGGAAGAACTGTTTTCCGTTACAGTTAACCCACTAGCCCACATAGCACCGAGAAAATAACCATAAATGAGGACTGATACAATGTGTGAAAAAATCAACATGTTCAAGATCAAACCCTAATGTCTCCCCAAGGCAGGTCTCAAGGAAGCAGGAGACCTCAGGGGATAGCCCAAACTCCAACAAGGGATAGAAGCTATCATCTCACAGCTTGCCTCCGTCAACAATCCAGGAAAGGGGTGAAGACAAAAGCCAAAGACAGAAGTAGAAACCTTAGTGCCTGAAAGTACCAAAGACAATGTGTAAAAGCTTTCAAAGTAAACCAGAGTACACGAACTTCCTAAATGGAGAGGACCTAAAGGGCCACCAGAGCTCACCTTCGCCACCTCTTGTGTGGGGGGGAGAGGGACCTGGACCGGGAGCGGGATGAGGAAGACGACGATGAGGATGAGGAGGAAGATGCTTCGCTGGTCCGGTTGGACCCAGAGCTGACAGAACGGCTGCTGTGGCCGCGGCGGCCTTGCCAGCCCCGGCTTGGGGGGCTGGTTGACCTGCAGGCTTTTCGGTAACAGCGCATTGACCGCTGCTTGGCTGAGGGCTCAGGGGGAGTCCTAGTGTTCATGTCATTCCGGCAGGGTGAGGCCTCAGGGGACAGCAAGGTGGATGGGGCAAGGCAAAGCGCTGAAGGATCTGCCTGCTCAGTGCTAGTCCTGTGATCAAGTGGTTCCTGGGAGGCAGCTGTGCATGGGGGCAGGGGGGCGGCTGTGCCCAGGGACAAGACGGGTTTGATGGTGATGTCCTGATGGCGTTTGATGTTCCATCGGGAGCCCACCTCTGGAATGACTAGGGCAGGCGTCTTTTTTGGGGGGGTCCT